GGGGGAGGGGGGTAGGGGGTAGGGATGGTAATATTAGAGGATGGGTGTTGAGTCACAGCACATCATATGGACAGTCAATAACATGCTTGAACTTCAGTTAGACCGTTACCAATACAATAAAATTGGCTCAGAACACGTTGACACTGATCATCCTTCAACAGGAATAGCTCATCTTGAAAACAGAATGCTATCAGAGATCAGGTGGGAAGAAGGCGGTGGCGATGGATGGGACATCTATACTCTCAGGAAGTCAGGCAGCTGATTAACAGCGTTGGACTGGAATCCAAAGGGTAAAATATAAAGGGGAAGACCATAGCCTATGAAACCCAGAGAAGAGCCACAGAAATTGATACGGTAGAAAGTGGGAAGACATGAAATAACATCAAGAGGCTAGCCCAGGATATTTAAAGGGATATTTAAAGGTGGACAGTGTTTGTTCGGGGCATTAAAGACTAGACTCTAGACTCTAGGCCTACCATGATCCAGGGTGAGAAAGGCAACGAATGATGATGATGTCACCGTGACTTCCTGAGTACAGTCATATGTCATGTGTACAATTTATTTGAGATGTGAGTATTGTGAGAGAGGCCAAGAGATCAGGGAGAAAAAGAAAGAGAGAGGGAAAGGGAGAAAAGTACTTGCCGGTAGATCTAGAATCTAGTAAGCTGATGTGTCCAATAGTAATGTGGCATCAACACGATCCAAGTTTCAAGACAAGCTTGAGCTTCTGCGACAGTTTGTTTTTATTTCGTCGTTAGCAGCGATGCATTTATTGTTGTTAAAGAAAGAGATGGGAAACACTACAAGGGAGATCACTCTTAGTAAAGAGATTCTAAGAATTCAACAATGTAACGGTCACAAATGTACGTATTCACCGTACAAAAACGTTACGGTGTATTTGCGGTCTTTTAAATGAGTGTATAAAACATTTATTTTTGGGATTGCATTATCTGCTTGGTATAGTATTTGAAATTACAACATATTCAAATTTTGACTTTGGTTAGAAAAAAAATCTTTTTTTTTTCTCCTTTGAAAGTGTTGGGCCTAGTTTGTTTGACAGTAATTCACCGCATGGGGCCGCAGCACCGAAATCACGGGAAACTACTCTCTTCAACATTAAATTTAGCAGGCTGAATCATTTTCATAAACTGACATATTTATTCTTCTCTTTTTGAGCGAGACTTTTCTGTTGCTGACGGACGTAGTCTTCACTTGTACCTGAAACCATGGCATCAGAACAGAGATGGATCCCTCTTGAATCAAACCCAAAGGCAAGTAGATGGGGTTTTTTTTCTAATTTGGCACAAGAGTGCGTCTAAAATTATATGTCGGCGTTGCTGCCCTCCTCAGATTATGCTGTCTGGCCCCGGGCCGGAGACCATTGAGCAGACAGACCGGCTTAGCTGCAAGTCTGCTTTGAATCATCAATTGGGAGTTCAAATCTATTACATTTTGGATCCAGACTGTAGATCTAGAGGCCAGACTTATGTCTAATTTAATGTGAGGTGTGTTCAATAAATCAGAGAAATTATTTTAAAAAACCATTCCAATGTAGAATCATGTGTATTGATTTTATCAGGCCTACTATTGAATGAGTCATATAGAAATTTAGAGATCTAGAATCTAGATCTAGATTCTAGATATATATAGATCTAGATCTAGAAAAATCTAGAGATTTCTATATTTTACTTTTAAGACCTTTTTTTGGTGACTGAAAATTAGACCAAGAAGCTGCTTTTATTCAGTTATATACTATAGATCTAGATCTAGATCTATATAGTCATCTATATATATCGTCTGGCTTGAATAAAAGACAATCCTTTCTACATCCAGCCTCTGTCCGGACAGTTAAAATTGAAATATTTGTGGTAAGAAGTGCCCACGAAAATGTAAAAAAAAAATGTTTCATTGGAGACAAGAAGCTGATGTTCTTTGTCTCTTTGTTTTCTTGTGCTTTTTATTTGGGCTTGGGAAGTATTAATCAGCCTGTTCATGAATCTGCTGAAATTTTTCCTGTGATTAGTGTGATAGTGATAGGCCAATACGGTTTGGGTTTGTCTCCTACTAGCAAGCTGACAAAATGAGTTATTTTTGGATCCCAGTCCTCTATCATCTATGGAAATAGATCTAGATACTAGGCCTACATCATGCTTAACTCTTTATCTCCGGCAAGCCACTTCCAGCTGACAGCGGCTCGGGCACATTCTCCTACGACGACTTCGACTTCAAATAAATTACATTGCGGCAATTGCCGAAAACAGGTCTCTTTAAATACCGGAAGTTCATTCATTAGATGAAGAACTGTCAAAATTATGAAAATACGTTTTTAGTTTCGATTTACTGACCCATTTAATGACGTTTTTGTCATTTTTTAGATGTAGCACCAAAACATGGCCCTGGCGTAGTGGGTTTACCCCCCTCAGAGATGGAGAGTTGAATGTTAAGTTTTTATAAAAAGTATCGAACAATAGGCATGTTTTACAAGATAAAGAATACTGCATCAATAGTAAATCTACTAATTTGGCCCTAGTGCCGATTTTTAGCCCATCTCTATTTGTGGATTGCGAGAAGTAACTCATTTTGTCGGCACGCTTTTCTTTTTTTTATTGAGATAGGCCTATTATTATATCATATTAACTTTATATTATGTTTGTTACATAGATCTAGATCATGATGTAGATCTAGATCTAGATGCTACAGAACAGGAACAAAGGCATAAGATCTTTGTTTAGCAATGCCCACCGAGCGCGTTTTGTTCTGCCGATTTTTGGCCCCCGCAGCGGGAGTGTTTCGTGGGACGCACTAACGCAAAGGTTGTAGTCTTCAACTCGCTCTCACGCCGCTTCTCGCGAATGGATATGAATGAAACTTGGCAGCCAATCAGAAAAGAGGTCAATCTCGTAGTATGCAGTTTGACAACATTGTACCCATCCTAGAAGCAGTCGAAAACGTTTGCGAAAGTGGTTGATGTGGTGCGCTTTGAAGATTTTTCGGAGCTGAGATTTGTCAAACTGACTGATATGTTGTACACCATTTTTCTTTATTCACTTAAAATTTCAAGCTTCTGTGTTTAGCGGTTTTCGCGTAATCTTTAAAAATGTGGGAGTAACTAAGGGAAAAAGCGGCATTGCCATTTGCGCGTACTGGTTGAACGACTTGCGGCTGGGAAATTTCCACTGAGTGACGTCATCAGCCATCGGTCGCCTCGGGCGCTTCAAACGAGGCCCCGCTTATGTGAACCGGAAAGGGGGGGAAGGATACTTGCGTTTTTGTTGCATTTTAGTCACAATACAATAGATATAGTCATTTTTATTTGCTTGATTGCATGACAGAAAAATAGAAACAGAAAAGCAAACATCTTGAGAAGTGGTATGGCATTGTGTTTGCGTTAGGAAAGCCTATTCCCCCCTCTTGGGAAAGCACACACTTGGACTCGTCCTGTGTGCTCTGTTTGGAAAAGTGAGGCATTAAGATTGTTATTAAAGAGTATGGTACTTATTTAGTCCAGTCTGGGAAGATAATCCCGTTTATACATTGTTATCGTTCATGCGTGCATGCGTGAGTGCGCGCGCGCGCGTGCATGTGTGTGGGTGTGAGCGCGTGTGAGAGAGAGAGAGAAGGGGAGGGGGGGGGTGTAAATATGTTACATTTATTGTATGAGTTGTAGCCTACACATGCGAAATATTCCCATGACTTGTAAACTATATTACCTGAATGCATCTTAATCTACCACACAATAGGACACTGTCCAACAATGGATATACACAGAGACGATCTTATTTTCTATAACAAAGTATGCATGCTTTTACTAGTACAGAACTGGATTTATTAGTAGCTCTCTACTTACATTTTTGTGACAAATTGATCCAGAGCATTGCTTGGCAAGGAGGAACCTTTTATGTTGCCAAGTTTCATTCAAATATCATGACTTTGGGAGAACATGACTGATAATCTTTGTAAATCTGTAAAGAACGCCACTTTTTTACCTGTTAATGTCTTTACAACTCAAAGTATGACAGATATTAAAAATCTGACTGCATGACTAGATTCTGCATTAAAAAATGTACTAGACTGCCATTTTTCATTTACATATTCCAAGAAGGCGAGGTATGACAAATATTGTCTCAAAACGCACCGAAAACCGCCACATTCTTACCTATAAACGTCTTCATAACTCCAAAAATAGGATAGCTATGAAAAATCTGAAAGCAGGACTAGATTCTGCACTAGAAAATGTACTGGGTTGCCAAGTTTCTTTTAAATACTCCGAGAAATGAGCAAGTTATGACGAATATTGTCTCAAAACTCACCAAAGAACGTCCCATATTTTGGGTTTTTTTCATTATATAAAAGTATACCAGAAATTAATTGATTAAAAAATCCGTAACTTTTTTGTTTTTTGATGGATTTCAAAAATTCAAAAAGTTCCATGCTCTGTGAAGATAAAGCTACAAAATGCACCTATGATTTGCAAACACTTTCTGGCAAAAAAAGGATTTTCGTGGTCATTGCTACTTTGTTTTATGCTAAATATAACAAATTAATGAAATTGTATGATTTTGCTTGAACTTTGGCTTTGGGTATTATTTTACTCTTGGACCTGTCTCAAGATTATATATTTCAAAGCACTTTCCTTGTTCATTTTTATTTGTTAAACACAAATTTTGATTTTATATCCTATTCAGGTAATTAGTTTATGAGATTATAATTTTTATACGAACAATATTACAATAGGACCAGTGGCATAGTAATATTTGACTTTTTAAAACATTGGCTGGTTTCAGGGGGTGTATGTCCCCTGACCTAAAAAGAATCAAGGAGGTTTCAGGGCATGCCTGCATTTCACCATGATTTGATGTTTTGGCAAAATTAGGATTGATATTTGCTTGACAACAATTGATTTGCAAGAGTCTTAGTGGCCATTGTGTTCTGCAGCAAAAATCATGGAAGTTTAGCCCTCAAAACATTGCATCTGTGTGTCAGTCTAAAAGTAAAAATTTACAGAACTTTGGGAGAGATAGTTGGCAGGTGCTCTGGTACAGGATAGAATAACATAAATGTATGAATTCTTTTTTTCCCGAGTCAAGGGCTAGGAAGACATCATGATAGAAGTGGTGAGAAAATACAGATGAAAGCTGACGACAGCATTCTTCTGAGGTTGCAAGATTTCCTGACTAATGCTGTGAGCATTGTTTCATGCTTAAAGAGTTAAGGGGCCGTCAACACTAGGAGGGCTAAGTTTGTTCTAAATGAAAATGAGATAAATCTTACACAGACAGTCAGGTCCAATCCTTTTGATATGAAATAGAATCCATGTAAAAGTGCTGTTTCTTTACATAAATTTAATCTTATCTGTGCTTTTGACTTTCCACAGGTGCTGAACAAGGTAAGAAAAGCCAATTGCTTCCTTTTTTTCCTTGACCTTTTATTTAATCATCAGCTAGTGCTGTAATCTTTACTGCGGGTGAATTGCCTGACTCAACATCATCCGAAGCATCTTAGTTTTAGAATAGTTATTATTGTCTTTTGGAACCTGAGCTAAAAGTATTTTATATTATTTATTGAAACTCGAAGGAAAAGTTCTTTTTGCTTTTTTGTTTGCTTTTAGGGGGGGGGGGGGGGGAGGGGGGTTGAGAAATAGTTTTAATTTTACATAAAATCTTTCCTTTTGCAATACTGCAACGAATGCTAACAGTAAGACATTCCTTTCTGCTGTTGTGTTGTATCCCTCTCGACAGCGAGTTTGCCTGGGTAGGAAGGATTGAAGCCCTTTATTGTGTACATAGGTGTTTAAAAACGCCTACATCAAAAAGAACAAAAATTTCAGAATAAAAGTATATACCAACATTTAGTCAGGTATTATGAAGAAGTGGACTGCAGGCTATTTTTTACTCCTGAATGCAAAATAAATTACTCTTTCTAGTTTTCTTACATTATTTGCAAAATTTCACGCATTATCTGGTATAATTGGGTTTGTTTGTATTTTAATTGATCAACTTTGTATATGTGTTGCGACATAGTGGAATCAAGTGCTGGGCAATTTTTTTGGCATATGAAGTTTTGGTATCATCTTAAAGCTTGTTCTGCTGTCTTGCTTTTGTTGAAAAAAAAATATCCATCCATCTATCTTGGATAGAAGTTGTGATATTTGCGATTGAAGCAGGAGGGGGTGGCCTGGTATCATAAGTCAGGTAAAGTCCACGAAATTATGGCCACCAAATTTTGGTGACTTTCGAAGCTTGAGTATCATGGAAACTGCAAATATTCCTTCTTTTGTGACTCTTGATCAACGTAAAATCAACACAAAAATGTTTTTAAATGATTATAAAAGTCTTTGAGCGAAACAAAAAAAAAAGAAAATTGATAAAACCTGCTTAATTTGTGGAAACAGGTCGGTTTCTTCAATTTCATTATTCTGATTCCACCACGATGCCACTCATACATCTCAGAATGCTTTATCACTGTCTATCTATTGTTGCCTGACCTGTCTGTATAGTATGTGCACAACCTGGGCATGGATGCCGGCTGGAACTTTGTCGATGTCTTTGGTCTGGACCCTGAACTCCTGGCCATGGTACCGAGGCCGGCCGCTGCCCTGGTCCTCTTGTTTCCTGATGACAAAGAAACGGTAGGTGGACACATTATTATGCTGAGCTGTGAATAGTTACTGTACTCTAACTCTAACCTCGGTGACACAGTGGGTGGTTGGCTGGTGATCTGCTGTGGTTTACTTAGCTTCATTAAATCGCCTTTAATAATAATAATAGATAATAAATAGCCTTTGTATAGCACATGACATGTCCCCACTCGAAAGCAAGCTCTATGCGCTTTGCACTATATTATTACCCCAGCAGACCATAGAACACTCAGAAACATTCTCAGCTTCCCAGGAGGCATACAGTGCAAGCAGCTGGTTAATTGCTCAAACACTAACAAACTGGCAAGATCTTTCCCTGCCTATAGCTGGATACCCAATTTTCACCAGGGTGAAGTGGGTAAAATTAGTGTTAAGTGCCTTTCCCAAGGACACAACGTGGGGCCCGCGTCTCGAACATCCGCACCCGCAACCTCACAATTACGAGTCCGGCAGCCTAACCACTAGGCCACCTACGCTTTAGCTTTCATCCTTCTTTTCTTTGTGTTACTCTCTAGTAACAGCTCTAATCTTTGGCACTTATATGACCTATATTTGTTGAGTGCAGTAAAACTCTTACTTTTAAAAAAAAGAGAAATTTATGGGACAGTGCAGGCAATATTTGACGCTTTGTGCTTTCCATTAGTTAAAAAGTTGACCTTAAGGAATTAAGAGTGGACAAGTTTGTTACATTTTGTGATTTGTGTATGAACAAAGTTTAGTTTAGGCATGTCTAAACCAGCGTTGTCTTAACTACGATACCGACCAGAGTTAAAAATCAAATTAGCTTTTTTGATTTTGTTATCTGTTTTCCCATTTTTATAGCATATTTTCAGTAATTTTGGCCTGTGTGATTCATATATCCTTACAGAAAAATATTGGTTGGTGTTAAAGTTAAGATTTATTTTTAAAGAATACGAATAAGTCATCTGCCAGCTGTTCAGATGTTTGCTACTAAGCCCAAAATTTTGAACATTTGTTGTATTCTATTTATTGCCGTTTCTTAGTTTGTGATATCAGTTGCATATGCTGAAGAAGTATTTTGTTAAAATCCAGTCTGAAAGTTGAAGAAAAGCAATAAAAGATTATAAAGTTGGGTTGATTGTTAGAAGAATGAAAATGGGTCTTTTTTCTCTTGTGATCCTGTGGTTTTCATTCAGCCAAACTCCATAATGTAATCTTTATGTATTTAATCTGTTCCTCCAGTGCTGTAAGAAAAAAAAAGTAATTTGGCAAAGGTTCATGGACATCGTCATAATGCGTACATGTTAACATACTTAATATTCTTTATTTCAAATATCTTGGATATATGGATGCATGGGTTTGATAATATGTTTTGTAAATTTCTTTTTTAAATGCGTTTTTATTCCCATTCTGTTGGGATAAACAGTGAACTTTTCTAACAATTTTTTCGGTGATGACCTATTAAGGAACATAATATGATTTGTTTTTTTCCTTGTTCTAGGTGAATCAGCTGATTGGAGAGTACCAGAGCGATTATCCCGACTCCCTTTACTACACAAAGCAAACAATTGGCAACGCATGTGGTACTGTTGCGATTGTACATGCCCTGGCGAACAATGAAAATGTCATTCCCTTCGATGGTGAGTTATCCATCTTTTATTTTTGGTTTTTGGGGTTTTTTTGGACAAGGCTTTTGTTTTGAATAGACAGTTTGCGAATTACATTGCAGTCTTTCCTGAATTGCTCTCAATGTGGGTGGTTGGCGGGTGCTCTTGTGCAGTTTGCTCCTTCTCTCCTATCAAACATCTATCATTTTAATCTCCCCTTCTTTTTTTTTGTGTTTGTTACTCGCTTGTAATACCTCTAACTTTGGCACTTATATGACCTTATTGTGTTGCATGTGCCTTAAAACAATTACTAAAACGATTCCCTGGATTGGTATACAATCACAATTGTCCAAGACGGCCACCCATTGTTAAGGAGAAAAGTGGTTGACTTGTCAGCTGGACTTCTTTACTTAATAAACAGTGTCCTTTTAATATTTTTAAAATGCAAGGTTGGAGATGGTCAGGTGTACTGGTGATTGTTTTAGACAGGTGGCGGTTACCATTAGAGAAGGGTGGTTGTAGTTCAAGTAGTGCTTCTTCTTTGCTCTGTGTTCAAATCTAGAGGCCAGACTTTATGCCAGCCTCAATCGCTCAGGGGGTCAAACTCAAATTGCACTTAAGACTGCTGGCTGAACATGGTAAACACTCATTGAGCAGTGGAACACTGAACCTTTTTTGAAAAAAAAATAATGTAATAAATTAAAACGGACTACGGTTAAAATGATTGCAAATAAAAGTATTCAAATTTTCGCTATTATGTCAGTTTGTCAGTTTTGGCATTTTTTCTTGGCAACAAGTTTGTTTTTGTTTTTAGTAAGGTTGTGTGTTATGAAGATTCTCACATTGACTATGGGATGAACAGATAATAGTATTTACATTGTACACATCCATACTCTCTTATCTATAGTGTACTCTTTGTGCTTTGCAGCTATCATTACCCCAGTTGACCCTAGAATACTGAGAAACTTTCTCGGCTTCCCAGGAAGCATACAGTGCAAGCGGTTGATTACATTCACTAAAACTAGTAAAATACTAAGGGCCTTTGCCAGGGAGGGACATAACATCGGGTCCCTGGCGCGGTTAAAACCCATTACCTTTCGGTAATGAGCTTGACAGTCTTACCACGTGGGTGGTTGGCGGGTGCTCTGATGTGGTTTACTTTTTCTTTCCTATAAAAAATCTATCATATCTATCTCCACTCCTTTTTTATGTTTGTTACTCTCCTGTAACACCTCTAATCTTCGGTACTTATATGACCTTATTGTGTTGCAAGTGCCGTAATACTCTTACTAAAACTAAACAGTCTTACTGCTAAATCACAGACACCATTGTTTAGCCCTTTGCTGTTTGTATATGTAATGGTATTCCAAACTTTAAAAAAAAATAGTACGATCTGTTTGTTTTGTTTTCTCAGCTGCAAAGCATTTCAAGACATTCCTGGAGAAGACGAAGCCACTCAACCCAGAGGAGAGGGCCAAACATTTGGAACAAGACAACGTATGTCATTGTCGTACATTTGACTTTGCTCTGAGTGGTTTGCTCCTTCTTTCCTCTATCAAACATCTATGCTCCTCACCTCCCCTCATTCTTTTTTTGTGCATCATACTCTCTTAGGTCTCTAGTAAAACTTCTAATCTTCAGCACTTAACATGACCTTCTTGTGTTTCAAGTTCTGTAAAACTTAAACTGAAAGTAAAAACTAAAAGATTTGAGTTCTTTGCTGTAAGGAATGTCTGTGTATAGTGATACTTGAAATGATTCAATGTCTCTAATGGAATTTTTGGGAAAAAAATTTATTTATTGAGTAACTCTGTCTTTCTGCTGGGATGTTGAACCTCTCTCAGCCCAGGTTGACGCTGGCAGGCAAGATAAAAGAAATCTGCTTCCTAACTGATACATGTATCGATTAACTTACATAACAAAAATATTTTTAAAGTGCCACTGGCTGGCCATGTGTCTTTTCCCTCCGCTGTTGTGTCTGTCTATCCTCCTTTTTTCCGTACTTCCATTTTCCAGTACTTAAACAATCTGATGTGCTTCTTTTTACTAAAACTAAAACTATATTACTTTATATCAGTTTCTGTTTTGTTTATTTTGTTGTGGTGGTTGTGTTTTTGTTTTGCTTTTCTTTCTTTCTTTCTTTCTTTTATTTTTTAAATTTTTTTTGGGGGGGGGGGGCAGTGGGATGGGGAGGGGTGTGCTTTAAAACAAATACTTTGGTATGTCCCACCTTATTGGTTTCAACAAATGTTTTTTGTTTTTCTTCTGTAGTTGATGGGAGCAGCTCATGGGGACTGTGCCCAGGAGGGGGACACACAGGTGAGTTTGTTTCCAGAGGTTCTGTTATGGTTACAGGCATGTACCATGTTCATCAAATCATCATCATCACCATCATCACCACCCCCACGACCATCATCATCATCATCATCACCACCATCCTCATCATCATCATAATCATTTTCATCATTCCGGGCAGATATTGCCATCTGTCTATAAAGAGGCCAATGTTACATTGTTGATTTTGATTTGTTTTTTTCTTCTTTTTATCAGGCTCCATCTCAAGACGAACATGTGAAGTCCCATTTTGTAGCGTTAGTCCACTGCAACGGAACGCTTTATGAATTGGGTATGTTTTCTGTCATAAATTTGTGTTTGTGTGTTTTAATGCTTTCTTCGGCTGCAAGCTGTTAAATTGTTCAAAACAAAGATTGTACATTTTTTTCTGGATAGAGAAAAATATACTGTTTCATTTCTTTTACAGCTTAGTATCTTTTCATCCTTTTTTTTTCGAAGTTTAGAATTTGAATTTCTACCAAATATGTTATGAGTATTATGCAACTGATACCACAGATTAAAAAACGGCCAATAAAAAAAAGTTTTTCGTAATTTTAGGCTTTGTACATCAGAAAACTGGCAGACAATTTATTACTTCATCTATTTTGAAGTGGAGCTTTAGTATTGGTAATTTTTGGCAGCTTGTAGATTTGCAGATTGCTTGACCCTTAAACCTAGGTTCTGACATTTCTACGGTTTTATAAACATAGATAGGGGATGGGATATGGAACTTTTATTTTCTTCTCTCTTCTTTTCTTTTAATCTGAGGTGCCAGTTTTCTGGATAAATCCCGAAAGTCAGATTTTTCACATTGTCCGGATTTTGCCAGATGGCAGGGACATTATAATATATGATGATAGTCTTGATGCAAATTGTATTAAGACAATGTGATTTGTAAATTTTGAGTCCCTGCTTGTGTGTTTTCATAAGTGTGAAAAGTTCAGGGGTTGTTTGTTTTTTTTTTGGGGGGGGGGGTTTGTTGCCACATGGTACCTCTGGATTATTTTTGTGTGTTTGTTTGTATGTGTGGGGGGGGGGGGGGGGTTATGGTTAGTTGACATATTTGAATATATATTTATCGTCAAACATTTTCAATGGCAAAGATTGTCTGACACTTTAGAATGAATTGTTTATGGAAAAAAATAACCTTGACTAACTCTTGTCTGTTTTTCAATGCCTCTGTTGGGACAGATGGGAGAAAGGAAGCACCTGTTGTCCATGGAACGACCTCAGCAGACACATTTCTTGAGGTATTTCACGCTTCTTTGTTGATGTTTTTGTGTAATGGTTTTCATGAACTTTAATTTTCTGTGGGTGGTTGGCGGGTGCTCTGGTGTGGTTTTCTTCTTCTTTCCTATGAAACATCTATCGTCTCTATCTCTCCACCTTCTTTTTTGTTACTCTATTGTAACACCTCTAATCTTTGGCACTTATATGACCTTTTTGTGTTGCGAGTGCCGTAAAACTCTTACTAAAACAAAACAATTAAATTTTCTGTGGGTGGTTGGCGGGTGCTCTGGTGTGGTTTGTTTCTTCTTTTCTCTCAACCATCTATCGTCTCTATCTCTCCTCCTTCTTTTTTGTGTTTTTTTTACTCTCTTGTAACACCTCTAATCTTTGGCACTTATATAACCTTTTTGTGTTGCAAGTGCCTCAAAACACTTACTAAAAGAAACAAACTTTAATTTTCTCCACATGCTTGGTGTGGTTTGCTCCTTCATTCCTATGAAACATCTATCGTTCTGGTCTCTCTTACTTCTTTTCGTGGACGGTTGGCGGGTGCTCTGGTGTGGTTTGCTCCTTCTTTCCTATCAAACATCTATTGTCCTGATCTCCCCTTCTTTTTTTATTTATTATGCTCTTGTAACACCTCTAATCTTCTGGCGCTCATATGACCTTATTGTGTTGCAAGTGCCGTAAAACACTTACTTTTTTTTTAAAAACTTCATCATTTTCTCCTCATGCTTGGTGTGGTTCGCTCCTTCTATGAAACATGTATCGTTCTGATCTCTCTTACTTCTTTTCTATCTGTGTTACTCAAGACGTCTTTCTAAAACTTTTTTAAAAATGTATTTTGCTCTGTGTTGTGTGTTCTGTCAAAAATGTGAACAATCCCCGCTGTAGCTTTTGGTAAAAGTCAGCCGTAGACGTTCATGCTTTGGTGAACTTTTATGTTTTATTTTTTCAAATGTTGTACTCTGAAAGACGATGTTATAATATTGGGTGAACCTGAATGGAGTATGAAAATGTTGGCCAGCCTGACAATGTACTGTGCACTAGTAGTACTAAGATGAAACTCAAAGCAAACCATGGGGCGGTTGGAGGGTGTTACTGGTAAATCCTTCTTCTTTTCTTTCCCTCTAATGTTTCAGTCTGTTGGTCTTACTTTTTCGATTGCTGCAATTTTGTCTATATACTTCTGTCTACTCAGACAAATCCTATCAAATTACTCCTGCATTTGTGGGTGGGCAGCGGTGTGATTTGCTCCAGATTTCTCTCCTTTTTTTGTGCAATGTAAACCTCAAGTAACATCTCTAATCTTTAGCACTTGTATGACACATCCGTGTTGCAAGTACCGTAAAACTCTTACTAAAACTAACACTGGGCTATACTACTGCAGTCTTTGTATTGATATGCTTCTCTTTACTCAGACAAATCAAATGAAAGTAGGTGGTTGGCGGGTGCTCTGGTATGGTTTGCTTCTTCTTTCCTATCAAAGATCTATCGTCCGTCCTTATCTCCCCTTCTTCTTTTTTATGTTTGTTACTCTCTTGTACCACCTTTAATCTTCTGGCGCTCAAATGACCTTATGCAGTTGTGAGCACTGTAAATCCTCAACTAATAAAAATAAAATAATAATGATATAATCAAATGAAATGAATTAACTCCTGCATTCTTTTCAACTCCTTGCACCTAGGACGCTGCTGAAGTTGTGAAGAAGTTCATGGCGCGAGACCCGGAGGATCTAAGCTTCAACGTGATGGCTCTGGTGCAGGGTGGAGACGACATGTAAGCCTCTCACTCTGTGGAGAGCCGGGTGGGGGTCGTTGTCAGACGCTGTGTGGGAACAGAATGCGCAACAAGACACAGTTGAAATTGTTTGGGGTATTTTTGTATTTTTATTTATTTATGTCTGAGAATGATAGCAAAAATAATTATGGTTCTCTTAATTTGATAAAGTTGTTGAGATGTCCCTGAACTTGCATAAATGGTATTTTAATTATGCTGATTAAATTCTGTGCAAAGTAATTTTGGCAATGCAAATAGCCGTGTATGACAAAAGACTGGAACAAACTCCTCATGTAACTTAGGAGATTTTATTTTTCCAATTTTCAGGATCTGATGAAAATGTTGAAAATTGTTTCATGCTAAGAATTGTAAAGTACTGTTGAGTTTAGCAGAGAAGGGGAAGCTGGTAAAGATTTCTATTTCTAGTCTTCTACTATTATTTGTGTGGCTGTTTTTGTTGTTTTATTTGTGTGAGTGAGTACGACGTCCGTGTGCTGCTGTCGGGTACTCACCTCAACCTTGATGAAAGCTTTTCCATGTATTTCGTTCAACATTGGTAGATTCTAGCTTTAAAAACATTCTGCGACTGCTGAGAATTGTTTTGCTTACAGTCAGCATTGTGCATTATTCCCCATTTATTTCAATTATGTTACAATAAGCCGTTACGGACCACTGTGTAACAAACTGTTTAATGTCATTGAATTGAAGTGTCTTTCTCAAATTTCTGTATTGCATGAACAGAGTTTTAAGTTTTCGTTCCAGAGTGTAAAGGTCATGTACTAAAAAAGGAAGAGACTCAAATTTAGACCTAAAGGAGATGGGATACAGCTGGACAGATGTGGAGACAATAGCATAAGACATATATATTAGAAGTAGATATGGAGAGCTCTTGTTGGTGGCCTATAGTCTGGCTTGGGGTGAGGCAGGATGATGACAAATTGAGTTGAGGAATGCTTCATCAAGGTGCAAGCTTGATGACACTTTTTGTATTTCCTGAACACCTTTTTGGATCCAAAAGTTTTCTTCCATTTTTGGTAATTTTGGCATTGACAGATCTGTAAAGACCGGTATCTGTGGTTTGTAGAGGTTAGGTGTTTCGCTGTCACTTGCAGGAGACCAGAATTTGATTCCCCACAAGATGGAAAATTTTTATGAGTATCTTGGTCTTTCTGCAGGGGTGTTGTATCTCTCTCAGCACGGATTAGCCCATACAGGCAGGGTCTTAATGGTCTAAAATAATTTTTTTAATGCCTGTAAAGTGTCTTTTTTAAAGTGGCCTCTCGTTGAACTTGAAAATTTCCTTTTTTGTGCAAATTCAAATACACAGATTTTATTCTGTTGTGAGCTGTGATCAAATGCACCACCACAATGTTATGGTTTCTGCTAGTTCTTTTTTTGAGTGTATCAAAATGTATGTTTTTGAAGCGGTGTTGCCAGTAAAAGTTGCCCTTATTTTTGTGTGTTTTATAATCATTCTTTGGATGATGTCATAGTTACTGTCAGACGTACAATGACATAACTGCTAACCCTTTCGTGACAGCTCCCGTACATGATAGTAAGTCGAACACTGTGAGCCAGGATGCTGTCCTCCTATATGATATATGCATCCTAAAATGCAGAATTAAATTAAAATGAGATTTTATAACACTTCTGCAATAGCTTTCAACGGAGTTGTACCAGAAAAACTAATGAGATTTGAATTTTGCGATAACAAATCATCTTGTCTGAATCTGGGATTTTGAAAAATGCCTCAAAATGACTGAAACTGAAACTGCTCACAGTTGTGGCTCGCAAAAATTTGGCGCAGTGAAATTTGGAGAAAAAAAACCCGACAACTTTCGTCACGAAGGGGTTAAAAATTAAAGAGGAAAGTAAAATAAGTTGCTTTTGCAATGACCACTTTAATAAATTGCTTTGTGTTCACCTTTACTTGGAAAGATCGAAGCACCTTTCTGTCTTGTGTGCCATTTGAATTGATACCCACTCTTGTCTTTTCAGTCATTTATTCCTTTTCTGATATATAGTCAATGTGTCTATTGCTCTTCTGTTCTCGGGATCCTGCTTTCCCTGCACTGTCTGTCATTGTTGCTGCTTGACAAGAGTTTCAACTCAGGTTTCAACTTACTTTGACTTTGACTCCACGTCTGACTTTTCTGAGGACAACTCAAGTTGCTCTTTCTTAGTTTTACTTACTTTAATTCCTCCTTGATGGTAGGTGGTTTTGCAGGCGCTTTGTTCTTCTTGGTGAGGTTTAACCCTTTTCTATCAAACTTCTATCGCCGTTATCTCCTATTAATATTCCTATCATCCTTATGTCTCCTCCTTTTCTTTGTATGTTACTCTCTACTAATACCTCTCTAATCTTCGGCACTTACATACATGTCCTAAATGTGTTCAAGTGCTGTAAAACACTAAAATTAAAACCTAACTATGGTCACCTTTCTCATTCTCTGAAAAAGCTGTATTGTGCTGCAACTGCTAATTATATTTTGCCTAAACAAAGTAACAATTGCGATGAACCATTACAATGCCTTTTTTCTTTCTTTCTTTCCCACAATAGCAACTGAAGGGTTAATTGACAGTTGCGTGATGATGTGTCTGTGGCATATATATTGTATCTCTGTTGTACTTGACACTTTGAGTATTCTCACGTTTTCCACTTGTCTCCTTTCAAAATGTCTCGTTATAATAATACACTTCGGTTTGTGTACTCGTTCACAAGTATGCACGCACACATGTCCACTGCCGCTCCCACTTTCAGGAATGTGCAGCACACTCGGACTCCCTACACTCATACTCAAAAAATGCTCGCTCTTCATACTACGCTTTCCCACCGTCTGATACAAAGTACTCAAGTGTCGTACTCACAATCACCATCTCATTCACCCATTCCATCCTAGCATGAAGAGCTCCGTTAGACTAGTTAAGCTGGTGTCATGCTGGGCTTAAGAGCGGATGGCCGTGGTTCAAATCGCAGACTGAGCGTTCTTGAACTCTTTGTTGTGTTGTGGAGTTTTCAAGGCTATTAGTATTAGCCCATTTGGCTCGGTCCTGTCGAAGACTGACATTAAATTCAGAGGGCCTGCTTTTTAAGTAACCCAGTTGTGTTGACAGGGGCATTAAACCCGTACATTTACTTTTACTCTGGTACTGGTATGGGCTCAGAGTCAGTCTCTCTCTGTCTGACCTTAGCAGTTGCGAGCGCCGTAAAACCTTATACTATACATACATCTCTCTGTCTGGCTCACAGATACACAATTTTTTGTCCTCATCACTTGATCAGATATCTGTTACATGATTTTTCTCGATCACATATTCCAGGAAAAAAGCATCACCACACATCATTGTCTTCTTTTCTAAGAGTTCTCCAAATTTGTTTTACATTTTATGGTGGTAGGGTATAAAAAAAGTTGGCTGCTTCATATTATTTACAGATAGTTACAATGCTTACATGTATGTATACTGGGTGTTTTTGTCAGCCAAGTCTGATTTGCTTTAACACAGATTATCAGGTACACACATCTTGATGCAGTGGGCATTGCCAAGGTTTGGATGGCCAAATGCACTTATTTTGAGTAGGCTACTTTTTTACCAAGTGTTGAGGCTCATTCAGACCAAAGATGGTCCGTCTGTCCGTGCATGTAACAGATGATGGCTCACTCACTGGGGATGTTGTGTTCATATCACACCATGTGTCTGTTCCTTGACATATCTTTTTGGCCTGGGGCAAATTGAAGTCACTTGAATGGTCTATTTAGGTAAATGCTACTTATATTTGGCATGTTTCTGCATCAAAATCTGACCAAGAGTAGGCTACTGATATGATCAAATTTAAGCACAAAAAATGTGTTAGAAAAATTTAGCCTTCCTGAACTTGCCCCTACATGGGATTTGGTGGAAGAAAATTTCGACAAACGTCAACTCATTTCAAAGCACAGATGCAGGACTCAGTTTGAACATTAACAAGTCCTGTGGCTAAAAAATGTACCGATATGGAGAATCCAAAATGTAAGTTCATACAGCACCATTTCTGTTGTTGCATCCCTTCATCCCGTCTCATGGTAAAAACTTTTTGCCCAGCAATCATCAGTTTTGTTCTCAGATGTATACCTTATTTGATTTGTGATTCATCTCAATCCTCTCATTATAATGATTCATTCGTAGACAATCGTTCTGTATTTCGTTAGCCAGCTGTTCAGACGTACTAAGCCCATAATTTTTTTATTTTTTTTTCCAATTGCAGTTTTAGTCTACTCTATGGTATCAGTTGCATGTAGACCTACTTGAGAAATATTTTGTCAAAATTCAAATTCTAAATCATTTAAAATGTTGAAAAAAGCCTGAAAAGACACATAATTTGTAAAATGTAGAAGGATAAAACAGTTATTATAGATATCTCTCTCCTGAATAATTTTGCTTTCAGGGCTTAGAACAGTTGAACAGCTAGTCGACGATTTGTACCTCATTTGCTTGTGGTGTGGGGTTGGGTTTCATGGGTAAATGTTTTGTCATGCTAAGTGCTTTCTACATGTGAAAAATTTGATGTCAACAAAGACTGCTTGACTTAAAAATATGTTGCGGTCTATGTGAAAACTGTTCTTCAGTGTTCGGCTTTTGTTGATTAAACAAAGTTGTTGCCAAGCTTATCAGATGGGTTGTCTGTGTGCAATGTCACTTATGTAATGTATGTAACGTGTTCATGGTTTCTTGTTAGGGTTTGTGGGTGGTTGGCGGGTTCTCTGGTATGGTTTGCTTCTTCTTGCCTATCAAACATTTATTAGCTTTATCTCTCCTTCTTTTTTGTGTTTGTTACTCTCTAGTAACACCTCTAATTTCTAATCTTCGGCACTTATATGACTAATTGTGTTGCAAGTGCTGTAAAACACTAAAACAAATAAAACTTGTTAGGGTTTGTACTGAGTGATACACACAGTGGGATTTTAGCAACTCAGTTTTTACAGCAACTACCGCAAGTGCCAAAGATAAGAAATACTGCCTGAGATTAACATACAGAAAAAAATAAAAGATGCAGGACAAATAAGGATGATAGATGTCTGATAAAAAAGGAGCAAACCACACCCCTGAGCAACTCAAAATTTTTCAGAAAAAGACTTCTCCTTTTTAATGGGGGTTTGATCTTTAACCCTCCCCCCTCCTCCCCCCCCCCCCCTCCCTTACCTAATTTAGGTCATTTTTTTAGAAATTAGAAGGCTGGCTGCTCCAGTCCAACCCTTCCCGTCAGGGCCAATGTGAGCTGAGAGAGATCCCACATCCCAGCAGACAGACAGAGATACTTGACTAATAAAAAGACACTCCTCCCCCCCTCCCACTTGAGAATTCAACTTCAACTCGCTACACCACAGACACCAGTGCAGCATTAACAACGACTAGCTGCAACAACAACAAGCACGAGAAAAGCGGGCCCAACCCAAAAAATGTTCCTTTGTTCGAATAAAGAGAAGCACATCGACACGATAATGGTCATTTAGTGCTGGGAAAAAGTAGGAAACACAAGACAGAAACAACAGAGGGAAAGTAAAGAAGTAGGACCTTCCAGAGGCACCCTCTAACCACCCACACAAAAAAACGTTTGAAAACTTGGGGGGAGAAATAATAAAGGGGGCAGGGGAAGCGCAGAACAGAAAAAAAATTTTAATCAAATAAATGAGAAAAACACAACATGGGTTCTTGGGATGTACTTTCTTGTCAAGCACACTTCTTAGTGATTGGTGGGAAAATGGTTAAAAAAATAAAAACACTTCCCATTTTCTCAGGACCTTGCACGCCTTTCTAACAACAGCAAGGAAGGACATTTGCTCCTCATTTTAAAAAAAGACTCATTATTTAGTTTAGACATGGCATTTCAAAATCGGAACTTTCGAATAAAAAGCACTTATATATATATATATGGCTGTATGTCCACCAAAGCAGAAACTACCCGATTTTTTGTCGGGAGGAGCAATTCAGTCTGTTTATTTCTGGTATGTGAGAGCAGGTCAGAGGTTAAAGAACACAAAGTGGGAATATAAAAACACATTTTTTCTCTTAAGTTAGAGACACTGATTACAAATAAGACATCAAAATTTTCATCAGAAATTAAAATAAGTAATTACTAATTTTCTTTTTTTTAGTTCTTGCTGGGCCTATGACTGATGAGTCAAGATAAAAATGCAAGAAAATTTCAGTGATTGCTAAGATATAAACCGGTGTTCTATTTTAAATTACTTTCCTGAGAGTATGACGGCATACGGTCAGTCAATTTCAGGTTTTGTGGACATGCGGGCTTAGTGTCAACAATGGGTCTCGACTGAATATCATAAACCAAAAAATGAATTACTCAAAATAAAAGGGAAAAACTGAAGACATCTATTACACAGCAAGACATAGCAGAGACACAATTCATTCAAAAATCTTTTTAAAATGGTATAGGTTGAGCGACCCTATCAATACTATTATGTCATTAAAGAGGCGGGACCTCTGAGTTGAAACATCCATCTTAGAAAAGGCCGAGCCAAATGCAAAATTCGTGTAAAGTGCCTTTCCCAAGGACACAATTTCGGACCAAACTGAGGCTCGAATCCCCGAACCCATAATCTCACGATTACGGGTCCGGTAGCCTAACCACTAGGCCACCGATGCCACATAAAAATCTTAATTTATATGAGCAGAGATGGAGATGATGATAATGACGATACAAGAGAGGCTTTCAAATGTCTTTACCCTGGCTATGAAGGAACTGTGGTACAACAATGAAACTTGGAGAATCTGATTTCTCACTTTCTAAAACACTGCATGGTGGAGTTTTGGGAAAATTCAATGAGCGATGAAAACTTGCGGACATTTTTAGCGAAGGCAGTTCTTGAGTACCAAAAGATAACAGTAACGCCTCCAGCACCACAACTATGCAACGTGGGTCATTGGCGGGTGCTTGGGAGTAGTCTACTTCTTTGCTCCTAACAAAAATCATCATCCTTATTATCTCTTCTCTATTCTATCTATTCTTTGTCAGTTACTCTCTAGATTCATCTTAAATCTTCGGCACTTAATGACCTATTTGTGTTGCAAGTACTGTAAAAATTCTTTCTAAAACTAAAAAGTTGTTACTAAAAGAAATAGAAGAGAAAAAATTTTCAAACAATGAAATTTGCTACAAGTATGGCATTCCCGACTCTACACTGTTGACAATCAACTCTGAGCAACCCTCTCTCAACTGAAAGCACAGCCACACCAAAGAAAATCTCTGGCTGTCTTGCAGATTTTGGCTTACACTGCCTCCACTGTATTTAGTATAGTATAAAGATTCATTGAACAGCCCTTGTATATATATCACTATATGTATGAAGTGCAAGCAAGCATGAAGCCCTCTACCTTTCTACCCATATCATTTTATACAAACATAAAACTTAGATCAGAACTAACAGTGGGGTTTGTTTAACACTTTGCAGTCACAAAGCCAGCAGTACAAAATACCCCATCTGGTCACCCAGCCCGGAGAGCGACTGTAATGGACTTCTCGGGCCTGGCGCAAAACTGTGCCAGGCGACCAGAATGGATCATTTTCACCGGCGCATTGTTTCGCTACGTGACCGCAAAGCGTTAAACCAAAATCTGTGGGCCAATGGACTATCTTCCTTTTGGCCGTGTCTTCAGTTTTCAGCTTATAGAGGTGCTCAAAATGAAAACAGGAAAAAAACAAACTAGGGATTTTTATCTTCTTTTGGTTTACCATTGTTCTCCAATTGACCATGTTGGGTTTAAGCTGACTCCACTTTATCTTCCAGTTTTTGAGAACGAGAACTCCACACAAAACAAACAATACACGCGGGAAACAGAAATAAATCAGTCATTCATTCTTAAAAGCAACCAACCTGTCCCCGCGGTTTTATGCACCCCGCATAATTTAGCAAAATTTGATCATTTTTTGCATAATTTCTGATTATTTTCCTTTATCATTCTTTGTTAAAATTAACAGAATTGCGTAATTTCAGTTTTGTGCTCAGTTTGCATAATTTCAGAATTTTCTTTACATAAAACCATGGGGACAGACCAACAAAACAGGAAAGAAGAGAAATAAATGTCAGAATATAAACGATATTCTTGATAACATGTCCTTTTCCTTCTGGTTCGGGTTATATCAGAAATATACTCTAGCAAACACAGAGCAAAATCAGTGGGACATGAAAATCTTTTTGTTATACCCACATGTGCCAATTTCGCCATGTATGTGTTTTAAATACAAAGAAATATGCACGTATACATATAGTATAAGACAAAATTCAGTGTCTGAAAATGTCCAGTATGTCTGGGTTCACTATGTGCCTGCTAGACTGTAGCTGTTTCTGCATAAGATCATAGAACTTGAGGTTTTCTTTTACAAGCAAAAGCAAACACTAAAAACCAAAAGCAGAGATAAAAACGAAAGGCAAGAAGCATTTTTGGAAATCCCACCTTACTGTGTAAAGACAATCGGAAAACAACTAATGATAAATAGAAGTAAAACAAGCACAATCTAAAAAAAACAAATTAAAACAACAAGCTTCAAACATTAAAGGAAAACATTCGAGTGGCATCATAGCGAAATCAGGCGCTTGTTAAAATAAACAATTTTTATCAACTTTTTTGGGGGGGCTCACCACCTTTCATGTCCATTTATTTTTAAATATATTTAATTTATGTGTGGATTTTACTGAAAACAACTGATCAAAGACATGAGAAATGTAAATTTGCAGGACTCTCACTCAGGTTTTCAAAGCCACCAAACTTTGGTCGCCATTTTCTCACAAATTTTATCTGACACCAGGTGACCCCCACCCCCATCAGTCGCAATATCTTGACTTCTATTCAAGATAGATGGGTATTTTTCCACCAAAAGCACAACAAACTACCAAATCTTTTAAAATATCAAAAACTCCACAAGCCAAAAACTGATGAGTGCCTGATTCCACCATGTTGAGACATACAATTCTACATCTTTTTTTTTTCTTTTCAAGTCACAGAAAATAGTATAGGTATAACATGGTTTTTATTATACCAAAAACATTAACTCTCTCCACACCTGCATACAAAACTCTTCATTTAATCAATAAAATCAAATAACATTTCATTCTATTAGACCAGTATATTACACTCAAACATTTGGAACATATAAATATAAAGTAAGACGCAACAATCAACTACATATTATGTTTCATGAAAATGAACAAAACTACTTTTAAAGCATCATTTTGATTAGGGAATATAACATTTCTATCTCGCAAAGACTTTTCCCAAAAACAAAAGCAAGGCTATTTCTTGATGGCCAAATATTTTTTCTTTCCCAAGCCCTGTCAGGGAGGCCCAAAGTTATAACTTATAAAAACTATAACATCAGATTACGTAACAACAAACAAAATTACATCAAGTGAGACTGGTTTTGATGTAGTAGTAGGGGAAAATTTCCTCTAAAATCTCCAAAGGGTCAAATCCGGGACAGTCCCGGAAATTTAAGAACAGTAGCTATTTTTACAAACCACTTTACTTTCTACTGGTATAGCAACATGGACAGACTGCAATGACGGCACAAGTCAAAAGACTTGTAAAACAACAACAGATGTCCACTGAGTTTGAAGCAACTTGACCGACAAGTTAATATATCTACCGTAATTGCAAGACCTTGTATACCTATTCAAAACCTTTGCATTTTCTCCCTATAATAAAGCAGCAAACTACATTTTCTAAAACCAAATATTTGAAAAGACGGAAAGTCGAATCGGAATGAGAAAAAAAGAGCCGAATGTTATTACGGTATTGGGGGGGGGGGGGGGTTTTGCCTCAACCCAACATCAACAACCCAAGAAGAGATAGTGGTAGTACTAAGGTGCAACAAAACAAGACAAATATTTCCTTCTGTACAAGGCCAGTTGTCTTCAACTCCAAAGGGGGAGGGGGTTAACTGTTGTGTCAAATGTGAAAAAAAAAACCTCAAAGCAGGGAAATGGCAAACTCATAGCCAATAAATTTCATTCGACTGATTAGGCAACACGTACAAATACAACATTTTGGCATCACTACACGCTCAGCTATACTTCATTCACAGAAGTTTCTCTTTTTCTGAGTCAACGAAATAAATCACTCATGAACAAATTAACCTCTCTACAATCAGCTTGTTACTTTAAAAACTATTCTAAAGCCTGAGGCAGTCTTGAAAAATGTGAACCTGTCCAAGGAAACCAGGAATATGTCCCTAAACTTCAAACTGAGACATCGGCAAAAATAGTTGGTGTCACCAATTCCGGACGATTTTTAGTTTATGCATACGAATGGATTCCCCAACCATTCTAGAAAATAATTCAAAATCTGTTTCTTATAAAACCCACTTTAAAAAACATCTTTTCTCAATTTATTTTCCATTTGCATTCAGTTTCAGATATTAAAAATCAATAATGGTGTCACTTTAAACGTGTTTATCTCAGTTCTTACTCTCCCACGTTTTCAAACTTAAAAACACAATATCTCATCTTCTAGAACAGATAATTGAAAAAATTTTAAGTGCATAGTAATCAGGAAGATCCCAGCTTACAGAAAAACACAAAAACTCAAAATGGCCCAGAGGCGACATATTCCCAATTTCCTCAGACAGACACACAAATGCACTGAAAGGAGTCAAATCAAGGAACAGACAACTGTGACTTGACAGCTTATATGTCATGGACGCACCGAGGAGGTAAGAAGACTACGCATATATATTGAATCTCTAGGTTAGATCCTGAAGATGACCCGTGCTCAACAGGGAAATGTGTGACATCAAGAGACTGCAACCGTTATTGCTTCTGGTTCTTAATTTTTCTCTGTTTCATTCGTGGGGGTTTCGATCATGGGTGCTTCCGCTTCATTCGAAGGTGTTTCATTCGAAGGAGTTTCACTCGAAGGTGTTTCATTTGAGGGTTCTTCAATCATGGGTGTCGGCTCTCCCTTGTTCTCCTTGATGAAAGAATCAACGATTGAAGCTAACATCGGGATAGACATGGGCCCACTGGACAAGATTCTGTCGTGAAATTCTCGAATGTCAAACTTGTCACCTGAAAAACAAAAGTAAAAATGATAAATAAGACTTGGAAATTTGAGAGGAAATTTTCACTTACTATACCAAAACCAGCCTCACTTTAAGTAATTTTGTTTGTTGAAAACAACTGTGGCGAAAAAGATGATTTGACATGAATGGTGGAGAATAAATCGTCATTTAGGACTATACAGCATGGAGACGAACTACAGTCAACTCAAAACATGCTCCAATGGCCACCTATCCAAGACAATCACCTGTACAAAAGACCACTTCCCAATTACCCCCTTTGAATTTTTTCTATATCATAATGACACAGTCCATGAGAACCACCTGTCTAAGAAAATCACTTTTCTCCTCGACAACGGGACCATCTTGGACAATTTTGACAGTATTCACATACACATGGTACACATGCTTACAGAACTCACAGACCCATTCAAAAATTTGAAATCTGAGGGTGAAAATAATACCACGATCATCAGGCCTTAAGTCTACTAATGAACAACGTCCACCAACATAAGCTGGATAAACAGACCTGTTCAGATAAAAACTGAACACTACAGCAGAGAAGCTGTAGGGAGAGACAGTGAACTATTCATACCACCCACCCTCAAACCAAAAAAAGAGTGAAGCAAGATGAAATGGTAGGGAGAGGTAAAAAACAGATGTAAAATATCTCTCCTGAAGAATTTTACTTTGTGCTTGGAATTACAACAGTTGAACAGCTTGCTGACGTTTAAAACAGCAGACTGAATTTCCAAGTTAAATACATCAACTCCAGTAGAAATTACGCACATGACCTAAAAGGCTTGTACTCACCCAGCTCTTTTTCAGCCTTCCTCCTCAATTCCCAAATTTTGATCTCTCCGATTTTATACGCACAGGCCTGAAAGAAGACACGAACAGTAACTCGAGATAAAGACACGGAATGAAATAATAACAATTGCATTCATACCACGCAAATTCAAGCTGTACATCAAGCTATATGCATTTAACAACAAGTAATTACCCCAGCTGGCCCTAGAGCACATGGAAACATTCTTGGCTTCCTGCATACAGAGCAAGCAGCAAATTAAGCACTCAAACGCTAACAAACTAACAAGATCTTTTGCGGTCTATAGTCTGGTACCCATTCCAGCCTGGAATAAGTGACGAAAAGTCATGAACAATGCTTTTCCCAAGGACACAACTTCCACCCACGCAGAAGTATTTCTTTAAGATTTGCATTGCTGCTATCGTCAATCAAAACAGCAATGAGCAGAAAAAAAACATTTCTCTGCTGCCAATGCAAAAGAGATTCTTTTCCAATGAGATCAATTCTGGAAGAGAAAAGTTTGTTTTGTTTTTTTTTAACTGCAGTTTTTTAAATGTGCGGTATCCGTAGCACCCCAGGATAGAGAAAGGTGGAAGGTGATTGTACGTGGCCTGTACCCTGGTGCAGGGTGAAAAAGGAAATGATCCGTTGCACCAATGACAAAAAGCTGTGAGGCGATAAACTCAACAACAATCCACAACCCACCTGCCCCGGCCAGGTGATGTATCTCTCCACTTCCTGTCTGAGATCCGACTCTGGCTCCAGCGAGTTATCTATCATGTACTTCACAGCTTTCTCCTTGCTCCATCTACGGGAAGAAAAAAAGCAGTAAAAAGTTGGTTACTTGGTTGAAGAACAGGTATCATCGTAAGCGGTACAATGCTGCACCTCCCTCCTCTCCAGTATCCAAGAAAGAGATGGCATGCTGATCATGCCAGTTATCAGCTGGTTGGATATTCTTCAAAAACAATAAAAAGTGTATATCAACACCTATCATTCAACACAATTATTAGCTTGGAAACTCGACAAAACAACCTGAGTTCAAAAACGACCAGTCTGGGATTTGAACCGGGTCCATCCGCTCCTCATCCCCAGCATTACAGCAACTAAGCTAAAAGAGCGACTGAAATATGTCATTAAATTTTAATAGGTCTTTTTTTTCAGTAAACAAAAGAACAGAAAAACTTTTGCTACCACTCAATTAAAATCTAGAAAGGAAAACTATACCAAAAAAAATGTTTATCTTGACACAAAAATTGTTTATCCTAAGTGGAACAAAATATGCGATCATATGACCTTATGCAGTTGCAAGCTACATAAAACTTTTACTAAACTAAACTAAATCATAAATATGCAATCTGAGGAAATAAAGTCAAAATTGTCCACGACAACTCACCCAAAGGCATGCAACCCTGTATCTACCACAAGTCTCGCTGCTCGGAAGATTTCAAAACTGTATCTGCCGAGCCTGAGGGAAAAAGACGAGATATTTACCATTTTCTCATTTAGCTCAATCTTTCCGAAACTCTCTCTCCCACAACATTTTTTGAGGGATACAAAGTCCGAAGCAAAATCTAAAATTCATTTCGAAGCAAACTTAATTAAATGCCATCTGGACAGTTAGTCCTTATTCATAGTACTCTTATGTCATTATGTTCATAATGAGAAGTGAATATCATTCTTATCAGTTGGGCTGCAATAGCATGAGTGTCTGCTTTTGGGTTAGCTTTTATCTAAAATCACAAGTATGCACATTCATTCATATATGCGTTTTGTCATAAGCTGAAGGTATTGTAAAACTCCTTCAGCTATATTGTACAGGAGCAGGCACTGTAGAAACTATTATCATTATTATCATTATTATTATCTCTTCTAAAAACGCACTGCAAGAATCAGAGTATATTCAAAAGTATGCAATGAAAGCAGGCAGATAAAAGATAAATGTGTTTACAGCAGCTACAAAAACAATACAGGGATACACAAAAAAGTGACATAACAGTGACTTGCCATTCAAAGCTGTCTTCGTAGATGCCCATCTCTTCTCCAAGAGCTTCTGAGTACAAGCCCCAGCCCTGGAAGAACATCAGAGACATAAAAATTAAACATCTCATCAATACCAATAAAATAATAAATAAATATATCTCAAACACATCTCATCCATACCACAAAAATAAATACATCTCAAGTACACGTCATCCATACCACAAAAATAAAGACAATTCGTCAAAACCAATCACAGTAGCAAACTGTTGTTAACCCTTCCAAAGACACCCTTCTGCTACAAACCCAATCCTATCTAACCTAATCAACTAACGAGAAGAAAATCATCTATGAACGGTTGAATAAAAGCTTCGGCCTTTATAACCCCCATCAAACAAAATGACACTATTGACACACTCCATGTTGTTTTCCTTTCCCCCCTTCTGGCAAAACAACAATTTCTTACATTATAATGACACTGTCCATAACTAAATAGATGTTTAACCCTTTGAGCCCAAGCCACCAGAACACCGGTGGTGCATAAAATTGCCCGCATGCCTAGCCACCGGTACACCGGTAAACGAGAACCTCTCCCCAACCCGGCTGGGTTAAAACACACACAGAAAACAGTGTTTGCTACAAGGATGTTACTGATTACTTTGAAAATCTTTCTGGATTAGATGCCGGTAATTACGAGGACTACCATGAGCGGGATATGGAAAGAGATTCTGAGAATGATTTAAATGTGAGAGTAATACTAAAAGCATGAATCGCTCAGGAGCTCAGGCAGATGGGCATGGTAGCCTCAGGAGGTCAGGGCTCAAAGGGTTAATTGGAAAGAAGGAGCAAATCACAGAATAATAATAGATAGCATATGTATAGCACAAACTCCCACTCAACAGCAAGCTCTATACACTTTACAATCTAAACCTGACAATATTCTGAAACAATCTCAACTTCCTAAGAAGCATACAGTGCAAGCTGTCAATATAGGCGCTAAAACACTAACATACTGACAAGATCACAAGATCATTCGCTGTCTATGGTTGGGTACCCATTCCCACCTAGGCTAAGTGACCTAAATTTGTGTAAAGTGCCTATCCCAAGGACACAACTTCCTAAGAAGCATACAGTGCAAGCTGTCAATATAGGCGCTAAAACACTAACATACTGACAAGATCATTCGCTGTCTATGGTTGGGTACCCATTCCCACCTAGGCAAAGTGACCTAAATTCGTGTAAAGTGCCTATCCCAAGGACACAACGTCAGGCCCACGACTCTAACCCCCAAACCTACAACCTCACAAGTACCAGTAGGTCTGGTACACTAACCACTAGACTACACCAGAGCACCCGCCAACCACCCGTGGACTCACCTCAATGTAGGCGGTGTAGAAGGGGAAGTTGCGAGGGGAGAGGTAGTACTTGCTGTCCTCGCAGTACCGGCGGAAGTCGGGCAGGTGGGTGGCCGCTAGGGCGTTTGTCGACTGAAAGGGAAGAGGGGGATGGGAGGAGGGTGGGGCGGAGGTTATTGCGATGGAAGGGGGAAGTTGTGACCAG